TCTGTTGTTCTGGAATGCCTGGGGAGGAGGGGGGCTGCACGCAGGCAGAGCCCTCTATTAAAAATCAAATATTTTATTTTGTACTTGAAAATAAAGGATTGTTCATGTAGGTTCGGCATGGAAATCAAAAGCGTTTGAATTGTTTGTTCTCTTTTTTAATTAGGAGAGGGAGAAAAACTGATTCGGATGGAACCTAGTTGCAAAAGGAGGGAGGAATAAAAAAAAAATAAAAAAAAACCCCCAAAAGCGCTGTACATCTGCTGACATTGGCAAATGTTGAATTGGCTGTGTCACACTTAAGAAAGCTACAAGTAATAATCAGATGCCAATGATTTTCCTTTTATTCAGCGCGAGGGTGTGTGGAATACTCATGAGGAATGAAATGTGAAATTCCTGCGTATTTTTTTTTTTCTAACGGAGTCACTTCCTCACCACCACCAAGCTGGGACAAATGTAGCAGGACCCACTGGTGCTGCTACCAGCCAAAATGAAGGATAACCTGTTGTTCTATCCTCACACACACACACTTGAAATAATTGGAAAAGAGGAGAGAAACTTAGCTTAAGGTGAAATGGAGGGAAGGTTTAGTCGAGAGAGAGAGAGAGAGAGAGAGAGAGAGAGAGAGAGAGAGAGAGAGAGAGAGAGAGAGAGAGAGAGATGGAAACACAGATGAGAAGAGGGATGCTAAAATTATGGTTTATGATAGTTTTTGGGGTGCCTGGACAAATTTTGGAAGATTGTTCTTGATTCCATTTTGCCCAAAGAAGGGCAGTCTTTCCCAAGCTGGACCCTTAGTGACCTTTGGCTTTATTTATTTATTTATTTGCATTTCGCCTTTATTATTTTTATAAATAAGAACGAAATGGCAAACATATCCAACAGACCATTTTTCTCCTATTTTTTCCATAACCTTGTGAGCTGGATTGGGCTGAAAGTCATCTAGCCGACTTTCATATCCAAGGTGAGAGTAGAACCCACCATCTAATGGTGATTGGCCCAAAGTCACCCAGCCATCTTTCATGGAATTAAACTCACAGTCTCCCCCAGTGATCCAGTATACAAGCCTGGCTTATACACAAATAGTTTGATGTTTGTCAAATCACATTCCTACTCTGCTGGATAATAAAAGCCATGTTCTCTTGAGGAAATCACACAACGTGCAATTATTGTAGTGGCCCATGGCACCACAATGTTTTGAAACCTCTGAAATGCAAAAAAAAAAAAAAAAAAAAAAAAAATGTAATCCAGCTTCTACAGATTAAGGAGATTGCATTGTTAAGCATATTCAACTGTTGACTTATTTCATATTTTGGATAGAACATCTTGAGGAAGGGACTGCCCCCCAAAAAAACATAAAAAGGTGCACTCTGATTATCCTAAAGGACTAGCTTTTGTTCAGAACAAAGCTGAAATTCTAAATACAAAGTTAAAGGAAAAAAAACTGATTTTAAAAGCCTTATCAAAGTCTAATTGAACTTTTTTTAAAAAAAAATAGGATGCCAACTTATTATAGGTCTTGAGAGGTGATCTATTGACTCTTTCAAGCAGGCAACAGAAGCCATCTGCAGCATTCTATAGGAAGAGGAACTTTATGGAAAATGAAACCAGATGGACATTTGCATGCAAAATACCCTTTTCTCAGTCCTTGGCATATGCAAGTAGACAGGGCATTAAGCTCTGCACACTGAGCTTCTAAATAAGGAATATGTTGCGAGCTTTTAATAAAATTACATAATACGTATGGCCAAATGTAAATAGTAGATTATTAGAACAAACTGTAACTCGTTTAAAAACTATATTTAAATAACCTTTCTAAGCAAGTGTGTTTGCTAGAAGTCATAAATAGCATTTGAATTAAGTTAGTCATCGCTACATCCCCCCCCCCCCGGAAATTAATGGTATTCCATTCAGCGTAGTGACACTTCCCATGAGTAACTTAGTTTGAGTTATAGAAATTAAACACTATCAATTTTGAAATGTAGCATTAAAAAGACAGCAATGGAATGGTATATTAATATAACCTCAAAGAAATGATATTAATAGTATATTAAATAACATTTATTTTTTTATATTTATGGGACATTTCTCTCAAGATTTAAAAAAAAAGTGGCAGGGAAGGAAACTGGCTGCATTTACCCATATATTAGTTACATTCAATGGGATTGGGCAGTTGTCTTCTCCAAAATAATTTTCATATATATACTCTGGGTGAAATGGGCAAAAATATGTTTTGCGTGTTGGTGGGACTGAAAGAGAGCATATGATGAATGGTTGCAGGAACTGGGTATGTCTAGCCCAGGGTTAGGCAACCTTGGCTCTTTTATGACTCGTGGACTTCAACTCCCAGAATTCCTGAGCCAGCCATGCTGAGGGGAAAAGGAGAGGTTTCCAAGCTGAGCCATGCTGGCTCAGGAATTCTGGGAGTTGAAATCCATGAGTCATAAAAGAGCCAAGGTTGCCTACCCTTGCTCTAGCCTAATGAAGAAAAGATATCAGCCTTCCAATATCTGAGGGGCTGTAACAGAGAAGAGGGGTTTGACCTATTCTTCAAAGCATCTGAAGGCAGGACAAGAAGCAACTGGCAGAAGCTCACCAGAGGTAGAACCTACCTGGAACTAAGGAGAAGTTTCCTGACAGTGAGAACAGTAAGTGGAACAACTTGTCTCTAGTCTAGAAGTTATGGGTGAAAGCTTTCAAGTAGAGACTGGACCATCATTTGTCTGGAATGTTATAAGGTCTCCTATTTGATCAGTAGTTGGACTAGAAGATCTCCAAGGTCCATTCCAACTTTGTTATTCTGTACAATATTTTGCTGATAGTTTTCCAGAAATGCTGAAGAGGTTTTTAAGGGTTATTCGTGGATGAAATTTCCCTATATTTAATGAGCAGAAAAGACCTTGGCCTTTTCCAGCCTGATAACTGCCAGCAAAGCAAGTCAACTAGAGTACTAATCATATGCAGGATTCTAATAACTCCTTCTCTTCCCCACTGAATTTTATTTTTTTTCCTCTTCCTTAATAAGAGTGTGTGACTTCCAATTTCTCTTTTGTATTTCTTTTCAAAACTTCATTTTGTACTCTTTCTCTCTCTCTAAGCTCCACTCCAAAGGTCAGGGGGAGGAACACCAAAACTCTGCAAATATTGAAGTGAAATGAACATATGAAATGGCAATGTGATGGTTTATGTAGGAAACCTTCTTTGAATATATTGTTTCCCATGTCTCCATCCAATTCCTATATTTTCTGGTTATGTCAATATTGAGCTTGTGTTGGCTGGCTAGTTGGCAGGAACACTGCACATTAAGCAGGACATAGCTACTGCGGGATTTTGTGATAATACCATAGATCATGACTAGATGCAATTGAGAGAATTGGCCTCCAGGAATAAGCTAATATGGAGGGCTACCCTCAACACATTTTAAAAGCAATCCCTTAATTCCTCCAAAGACCACATCAACAAGAAATTTCCACAGACTACAAGGATTTATAAAACATATCTTACTTGAAATCTTTTGACCTCCAAATTCCCCATACTGAGCTTGGAGCTGTTCAGATTCTACTGGTAATCTTCTACTCCGGAAATGTCCTAAACTTAAAATGTCCCCATTTTTAAGTAATGATCTCCTGTGTTCCTTTTGAAAACAGAACTTCTTGATGGAATAAAATAACCCTGGAACGATCAGAATGAAATGTGCAATTTCTGTAAGGTTGGGAAAAACACATTCCAATCTCAAACTAAAGGTTTCAGGATTGGAAGGTTTTGGATTTAAAAATATTTTGCACGCCTGCAATGGAAAGCCTCTCTTCTCTTTTCATAGCAAAGGGATATCTTGCTTTGATAGGTTGTAAGCAACCAAAGGCATGAATTGTGCTTGCACCATCCTGGCATTGCTGGAAGTTCAGGTATTTCTAAAACAGAAGCCATAATGGAAACACAGGGAGGGAAGTACGGGAGTGGAGGAAAGCAAACAATAAAGATGTAGTTCATATTTGCAGAGAGTTCAATGAACAGATGGCTTCTTAGACAAATGGCCCAGTTTATGAATGAAAAAGTATCCAGTAATAACATTGTGGATGTGATAGACATGACAGCATGCAGGGCAAACCCTGGAGTAGACGGTGGTTATCTAAAAATTGATAGTAGGCAGAAGACAATGCAACTTGTGTTAGCTATGAAAACCTGATACTGGAAATTGTCTTGGGTGTTGAGATCTCAAAATCTGTGCTTTGAAAATGCAGAATTTGGGATAGAAAATTGGCCTTGTTGTCTCAGGCACCAGCTGCAAATACGCTTGACTTGATTTTAAGATCTCATTTCTGTATGCAATACACTGAACTGTCCGTGTTGAAATATAGGAGTAAAATAAGCCTTCCCTCCCCAAAAATAATTATAGAAAACATTAAACAAATAAACATTTTGGGCAAATGAATCTCCTATAATCCTAATTAAGTAGGATTTTCATGTACAATTACAGGGTCCATCAAGCCCCAAATCCTATCCTGAACTATCACTAGATTAATGGGACTATGACTACAGGAGCACGGTTGAAGGAACAGTTAATCTTGAACTCAGTGGAGTTTTTACTGGACCAACTTCAACACTCTTAAGGTTTGAGAAGATACTGCACTGAGCTTCCTTTTAAGTAACTACTATCCTTCACATCTTACTGATGCAATCCTTGTTTCTAGAGAAATTAACTCTTGAAATACCAAATGAATCAAACTTTGTAAAACAGAATCTGCAGTTTCCCAATCAACTCTAAAAACCTAATTTTGAGCCATCCTAGTGATCTCACTATATTGTACATTTCTTCACACACCATGCAATGTGGATACTCATTACCTTTTCTGCTTCTCTGCAAGATGCTTTAAGAATCAGCGTCTCAGACTAGCTCCTGCCTTATCTGTCCCTTTTTGCTAAATTTTCTCCTGTCCATAATTTTGCTCTTGTTCCACATTCCATTAATGACCTGTATATATTCCGTTGATCTGTGTACCTACCATACAGAATTATACTGGCATTGGTGTTTCCCAGTTTGTTGATGGCCACACAAGTATAATTGCCATAGTCCTTCTCTGAGACATTAAAGAAAGTTAGTGTGGACATCCGTCCTTTGTTTTCAATTTTCAAGCCATCCAGCCCATTAGCTAACCTGCAAGGAAGACAAGACAATGAACTTAGATTAATATATAATAATCCAGAAGTGGAATTCAGTTGCTTTCAAGCTTCTAGACTGCAATTATTCCTCAATGTAAATCTTACGCTTGGTCCAATAGATTGACATAGGTGGTATTTATTTTTTTCCAGCACCTCTTTGAGGTTTGTTGGATGGATCTTCAAGGTCCATTTTCAAGTTTAATGGGGGCATCGAGGCTTATTCTCATCCATTTCCTATTCCAATGTTCCAGCCAGTTCAACAATTTCTCCCCACTGCTCTGTTTTTCAGCAACAGATATCCATTTATTACTTTATTTGTTTCAGTTCCAAATCCTTGAAAAGCCATCAGCAGCTGAAGGTAGACTATAATATCCTCTGTTGATCAAACACTATATAAGGTAATTTCCTATGCTCATCATAAAGAAAATATTATTAAAGACTGGAATTAATCTGAGTACATTTAAGATAAATTTAATATAACAATATTATTTAATATTGCTAATGCCCATTTGTGCCTAGGATATACAATGCTCCATTTTAATTACTTTAAAAAAAAAAAATGAGAGGTCTGCCTGAAATTTGTCTTAATGCAGACATCAACTGTTTCCTCCAACTATGTGGATTTCACTCACAGATGTCCTCAGCTAACATGGCTGTTGCTGAGAACTCTGGGAACTGAAGTCCAGATTAGAGAAGGTATAACAGGACAGAGGAAATCCAAATGAGAGCACCCTCTAGTTATGGAGATTCTCAGTCATCCAGGTCATGGTTGTTCCAGAGATGCTTTTTCAGGAGGCAACTGGACCTCCTTGTTTTTTTTTGAAGAGGTTTCGCTTCTCATCCAAGAAGCTTCTTCAGCTCTGACTGAATCCTTCCATTCCTCACCATCCAATCAGAGCTGAAGAAGCTTCTTCGATGAGAAGTGAAACGTCTTCAAAGAAAAACAAGAAAGTACAGTTGCCTCCTGAAAAAGTGTCTTTGGGACACTCTCTAGTTGTTTTACTGTCATCAGGGCGGAGTTTAGAATTCAAATGTATTTCCAAATCTGAGCCAATGCTCTAGGTCAGGGGTAGGCAACCTTGACTCTTTTATGACTCATGGACTTCAACTCCCAGAATTCCTGAGCTAGCAGGAATTCCTGGCTCAGGAATTCTGGGAGTTGAAATCCACAAGTCATAAAAGAGCCAAGGTTGCCTACTCCTGCTCTAGATAAAACTGCTGATTTGACTGATAATATCCCCTTAGCTCAAGAAAGCCATTTCTTCCCAAGGACATACATCTTCCATTCTTAAGTTACTGTGGTAGCTTTAAAAGACTGCTTGGGTACCTGGTTTCTTCTTTAAACCACTGAAATTCTGCTACGGGGACAGCTGAGGCCTCACAACGCAAGATCCCTTTCTGACCAACTGAAACACCAGTATTCTTAGGACTGGAGATGGATGGAGGATCTGCGGAGGAAAAGGAGGTTTATTTCAAACCTTTCAGATTTTTTCCAGGTCTCCCCTTGAATGAATCCTGATGGCAAACAGAATCAGTTGGAATCAAACTCAGGAATGTTGAGGGGACAATGATCCTGCACATCTAGAAATGGCAGTAATTTAGTCTTCCCCATCCTGGGTTTGTTCAAATGTATGGATCTACAAGCTCCCAGAGGCCCAGTTGAATTAAAATGAGAAAATTCCTTCAAAAAGAAAACTGGACAATGCAGTTGGACTTACCACAAACAGTTTTCTGATCACCAGGTTATGGACAAAAATTTGAAATGATTCCAGGACAAGGCAGAAAGATAAGAAGGGATCTATGTTTAACGTGATGTAGTCCAGATCTTCTCTAAATAGAATTCATTGATTAGGAGAACCTCAGAGTGATGTACAAAAGTGGTAACATGCTAACATTAACCCAACATAGGCCTTTCAGTGAAGTCAGATTAGGAAGCTCTCTTTTCTGTGTATTTTTTCCATGGGGGTTGGGAGGGGGTGATAGCTCTTGAATCACCTCCAAAATGCCAAGACCTTTTCAAAATACTCAGTACCTATTTTAAACTGAATAATTCCGTGTTCTTCGTTGCTAATGAAGCTTTTAAAAAGTGATTGTCCAGAAGGGCAAAAGGCATGAAGCCTAATTAAACCTACACATGTGATGTTCTTATGTCAGCTTGGCATAAATGGACTTCCTCATGCTTCTCCTGAACGGTGGAGATTTCTTAATCTGTCGTGCGTGCACAGCTAAGCATCGGCCGAATTTCTCTCCCACTGTGTTTTAATTTTGACTTTCTCTTCAGAAGAAAGTAAAGGAGTTAAGCAAAGAAGACATCAATCTCTTACTATGTATTCTCCCAGCTGCTACAGTAGAGATGAGCTATTTTATTTTGGGGATAATAGCTAGGAAATGTCAAGCTATTAATTTATAAGAACTGTATGGCTAGATGGCACAACTATAGCTTAGATCCTGGAGGTGTTGTTCTAATAGGATTTATAAACTTGGTGGAATAAGAATGTTATTTTGCTGAATGTTCTAACATAGCTAAGAGGCAGAACATGTTTCTGCATGCATGGCGTCTTTGTTGTGATACCTGATACTTGAAAAAAAATAGATACAAAATTGATGAAGATGTTTTCTCTCTCTGAAGAAGTTTTGTAGGAGTCAGAGAGAAAGTGCTACAGAGAAACATCTGAACCATTCTGAAAGAAGCCCACATTTTAGAGTGAGATGCATTTTGTTTTTGTTTTTTTGTTTTTTTAAAAAAAATGTAATCAAAGTGCAAATAAATATGATCAGAGATCATGGTGATCTAGCCCTCAAGTCAAGAAGGACCCAGAAGTGTTTTGGGAAATATTAACATCAATGGTAAAACAGGCTTACACACTAATCAATAACTTTAAAATGATTGCACTGGTTTGCTTTGCTTTGAAACATGTCCTCTAACGCAGAGGTCTCCAAACTTGGCCACTTTAAGACTTGTGGACTTCAGTTCCCAGAATTCCTCAGCCAAACATGCTGGCTGGGGAATTCTGGAAGTTGGAGTCCACAAGTCTTACAGTTGCCAAGGTTGGAGACCCTTGCTCTAATGCAGGGGTCTTCAAACTTGGTCATTTTATGACTTGTGGACTTCAACTCCCAGAATTCCTCAGCCAGGCATGCTGGCTGAGGAATTGTGGGAGTTGAAGTCCACAAGTCATAAAAGGGCCAAGTTTGAAGACCCCTATTCTAATGAATGAATGGCAGGCTGGCTTAGATATGCTTGTGATGTTCCTAATGAAATCACTGCCAATTATCCATATCTAACGTGTAGAAGCTGGAAAGAAATTTACTAGGTTCACATATATTCCACTTAGTTGTAAACCAGTATTTACAATCCATAATCATTGGATTCTCACAGTGCTAAGCCATGTTTGAAGCTTAGCATGTCATGTGAACCCAACCAGTTTCTAGTTTTCTCAAGGCATCTCAGAAAATCAACTTGTTTTTTTTTTTTTTTTGTGGGCTTGTTGATTTGAACTCCGCTGCCTCTGTTTCGGGAATAAAATTTAAGCCCATTGTTCCATGTTAGCTTGGAATTCAGTAGTGGAAGGCTAATACAGTAGCCCAGAGGATGGGGTAGGAAAACTACAGTTTACTGATATAAAGCCTAATGCCACGGTTTAGTTTCGGAAGAAATCTCACCGAAAACCCAATGGGAACAATGGCTCTTGCAGTCAGAGCTTTATGCAGCAGCTTTAAGCAAGCTCTGAAACCTTTCCATTAAAACCTGCTTGTCCAGTAAAAGTATAATTTGAGTAGCATGACTTACATCAGTGTTTCTCAACCTTGGTGGCTTGAAGACGGGCGGACTTGAAGTCCACGCGTCTTCACCGCAGCCAAAGTTGAGAAACACGGCCTTACACAATTGTTGCAAACAATATAATGACACCAGTGCATCCTGCTTGAAAATGCACTTTAGAAAAATCTATTGCTCTGTGAAAAATGACTAGGTGTGGAGGTTGACTTACAGTTGACGGTGACCTTCACCCTCCGAATATCGGGCGCTGCCACGTCATTAACCGCTGTGCATTCATATTCACCAGATTGTTCTCTCGTGATGCCCGTAATTTCCAAGTATTCATCATCACTTATAAATCCCTGACCTAGAACAGAAAAGGGAAAGAAATACAGAGAAGATAAAACTATGGCTTCAAGTTCAGTTCTCTTTCACTTTTTGCAGTCAGAATTGTGTGTGTGTTTTTTAGGTAGGGCCGACTGTTAATCATTTCTGGGTGGACTAAAGTGGGTATGATAAATTATTCAGCAGATTCTCTGGAATGGGGAGGTTTTTGCTTATTTTTTTCCCCTTGGCAATTGGCCTGTTATTTTACATTCTCCGCTGCTAGGATGGTGATGATGTGGAAGGAAAGTATGCAAACTTTGAACATATTTGCAAAAAAGTGTCATAATTTTTTTTTCCTTTTATGGAAAAAATACAGATATTTTCCAGGGAGGCAAAAAGGTGTCTTTTAAGAAAGCTTGGTTCAAGTTAGCAAGTTTAAGATTTTTGGAAGATTTAACAGATAATATTAGGAATAGATTTAGGGCCTCCACCAAATTTTCTGTTGCACTTTGGGGTTAGTCAAATATTTTACATGATTATTTTTTGTTTTTTTTTTCTTTAAAGAAATGTGCATGTATGCAAAAGCTTGGTGGTGTTTAATGTGTGCTAATGTTTATGAATTCAACAAAAAATAACTCCTCGTTAGAAAGAAATGGTTCCAATACTTTATTTTTCTTTTCTTGCTACACCACAATGCTGGGATGAAAATGTCTTTTTTAAAAATAAACATGTTCTTAATTTTCATTGCAGCCAAAGGAAGCTGCCCTTGCTGATTAACCACCGAATTGTCCAAAGAACAGCAACTTGTGTTGTGATTATTCTGCTATTTGCAATGGTTAAAACTCACAACTCAAGGTGTTATTTCTGAAAATGAAACAGGTTGGCTTATCCTGAATGACAGTCAATGAAAATGATGCACCTACCAGACACTCAATGATTTTTTCTTCGACTGTAAGGCATCAACAAAGCTAATGTGGGAAGTCACCCCCCCCAGAGAAAGAAATATTTTTGGGGAATATTAAAAGGCAGAACATTATATTTCTCCAAAGGATCTTAAATGCAGAAACTAACCACCCCAATGATTCTCTGTCCCAAACAGAAACCAGGTCTTGCAGAAATGCAGATGTGATAATCTTGTCAGAAAGATTGGAGTGAGGAAGCTGTTATTAGGAAAAAAAAAAAGATCCCTAGAATCAACAATCCCTCACACCAAAAAATCCAATAGTCATCAGCCACAGCCCCAGGGAAGCAGGATATGACCTTTGGGATATAATAGGATTAACCCACCACCATCAGAATACCAGAAAGGCACACTCAGACTCAGGTCAAAGTTCATGCCACAGGAACAACTCCAAACAAAAGCTCAAGAAGGTATAAAAACCCACCACTCCCTACTACATGTGGTCAGCTTTCCCAGAGCCATCTTTCTGTCTGGCTCTCCTCTTCAATAAACTACAACCTTCTTTCTAAAGCAGTCTCCATTTTGCTTATTCCCAGCTTGGATTGGACCCTGATGAAGATTTTTCTTTCAACACTGGTGTTATGTATTCCTGATAGCCAAACACCTAAGAAACTAGAATATTCAGATTCACAAGTTTAATATTTGCTGAGCCTGCAAATTCATGTTCTCTGATTTAGCCCTAGGGCAACAGAATGGATTAAATTGTTCCTCTAAGATTGGAGACAGTCTTGGGCAAAATACAGTGTCACAGATATCTTTTCCTGTCCCTTAGAGACCCTCTGAGATTGTAGTTGTTGGACACATCATCTAACAGAGTGTACTTTTGCAATAAATAAGCATTATCCGGAAATAAACCCCGAAGAGCTAAACAATGGATATTAAACATGTTTAGCTTTTGCTTTCTTTTCTTGGCTATCCTTTGAACAACATGACCTGAAATCTCCACAGGTTCTCCCACTGTACCAACACTGTTTAACAATTTTCAGCTCTCAGACCCCCAGGAAAATGCAGGGATACAGGCAGAAAACCTTGCCCATTCTTCTCCAAAAAGACTGCCATATCAAAAAGGGAGAGTACCCCCCTGCTGCTCCAAACAGAACACGGAGATTGGAGAGGCAGTTTTTACCACCATGCTCAACATCATTTCCTGCTGATTCACATCCACCACTCCCACAGAGCTTTTGCCAGGAACAAAAGGACGCTGGGATGTAGCTAACACAAGTATTGCTTAGGTGCTAACCAATGTGGGCCTTCTTTCATTCTACCTGATTTTGAAAAAAAAAAAAACAAAATAAAAGAAAACAAAAACCCAACTCTAATATTTGAGCTTAGGTAGAACTTGAAGTTTAATATAGAGGTCAACATAGTGGACACTGTTCCAACCTTTTGCAGAGTTTATCTGTTGTAGATACCAGAACAGAACAGAATATGGAATAGAATAGAATAGAATAGAATAGAATAGAATAGAATAGAATAGAATAGAATAGAATAGGAGCTGGAAGGTACCTTGGAGGTCTTCTAGTCCAGCCCCCTGCTCAAGCAGCAGACCCTATACAGTCTCAGACAAGAATTGGTTCCAGAAATTGTTTCAAAGAAGGCAAAAATAACCGTCCCCTAGTTTGGTCTTTTGAGCCTCATAAATATTCCTCCTTGGTTTAGAAATGTTAAATATTTCTAGACAGTGAGAAACTGATTGCATGAAATGCAAGAGACTTTTTCTGCCTCAAAGAAGTAAGCAGCAGGACAGAGATGATAAAGCACTGTTGATTCAGGGCAGAAGGGAGGAAGCAGTTTGAGTCTGAAACTATAAAGATGGCAAAATAACAAGGGGTGGGAACCTATGAAGAGGATGAATGCTGGGCTGGCTTTGCAGGGGAACCTTCTCTGTAATGATCTAATAATCCTGAGGTCATTGTGGGTCTGTCCTATCCTCCAGCTGATCTCTATAAAAGATAATTGGATGTGTAACGAAATAGATTTGACGAGCCGGTGACAAAAATAATTAAATGACAGAGATGGTTTCTTTTCAACATGGAAGGGGCCGCAGGAAAAAAAGATAAGCTCTGTGAGATAAGTATCGAGAGGGATACAAATGATGACTTTCAGATGGAGAGGATGTGATGGATACCAAGCCAGCTTAGGGTCAAAATCTTATTGGCTTACACCACAACAGGAGAACCCTTCATTTTCTGCTTAGTCTAAATGGGAAACTCACATGCACAGAGACAGCTTAGTGGAGATGCTGCCCTTTTGTTAATGTTACTTCTGTATTTTTGCCCTTCATAAGACATTATCTAGAAGTAGTAGAAGTACTAGTACCACTTTATAAAGCCCTACACACACCTGGAATACTGCAGCCAGTTTTGGTCACCATATCCAAAAAGATGTTTAGAGTCTAGAAAAAAATCAACTAAGATGATGAAAGGGCTGGAGACCAAAATATACAAAGAACAACTGCGGGACTTGGGTTTGGCTAGTCTAAAGAAAAGAAGAAATAGGGGAAACATGGTAGCAGTAGTCCAATATCTGAGGGGCTGCCACAAAAAAGTGGGGGACACTTTGTTCACCAGAGCACCAGAGGGAAGGATGAGAAACAATGGTTGGAAGCTGATCAAAGAGAGAAGCAACCTGGAATTAAGGAGAAACTTCATGACAGTGAGAACAATCAACCAGTGGAACAGCTTACCCCCAGAAATCATTGGCACTCCATCACTGGAGATTTTTAAGAAGAAACTGGACATCCACCTGTCTGAGATGATATAGATCCTCCTGCTTGACCAGGGGGCTGGACTAGAAGATCTCCAAGGTCCCTTCCCGTTCTATTCTATTCCATTCTAGTTCTAGTTCTATAGCTAGAAACCATCAAAGCTGACACCAGCATAGAAAGAGCATAGAAAAACTCTAAGAAGTTGTGCAAGATTGGAAGATGTGGACAGAGCTGACCCATAGAATTGCCAAGATTCAGACATGACTGAATGGATATCCCTCCTCCTCCTCCTCCTCCTCCTCCTCCTCCTCCTCCTCCTCCTCCTCCCCCTCCTCCTCTTCTTCTTCTTCTTCCAATGTGCCTACTGTATATTATCACCTTTGGAGGAATATTCTCTATCTATTTCTCCTGGTGAGAAGGAATGGGGTGCAAGATCAAAGAGGAAGAGAGGTACCTCAGCTTTTGATGAGGGGAAGCCATAAACAAGATGAAGGGAAGGAGAATCCACTTGTCCTTTCTGCTCATCTGGCAGAGGAAGCTATGCCCTTTGAGTAGGACGAGAACTGCAGTAAAGACATTCCCCCCTCCCAAAAAAAGAGCATTGCAGTAGGTCCTGCAGTGGTGGCTGCACCAATTCCTTATCCCAACAATCCTGCAAATTCTATAGGAGAACGTCTGACACAGCGGGATTATTTATCTGGCTGTGCATTAGGACCAGTGATGCTGTTAAGCTAATTAACAGCATTCATTAATATCTTTAAATTACCTGTGATAGCTCCCAGGCAAAAACAACCCCATAGCAATAGCAATGGCCTGGGCCCATCTGCCTTGGCAACTGACATGATGTACATTGCACAGTTCATTGGAACACTCCAGAGCGATTCTCTCTCCAAACTGCAACCTCATCTGAAAGAACAGTCCTTGCTTTCTATGGGAGAGAGATTAGCAATTCAGAAGACTGTTTCCTTGGCTCTCATTTCATTTTACCCTTTGTGTAAAGCTCTGAAGACCTTTACCATGATCCTTTCTGTCCTAGACTTACAGCAGAGTGCAATCACTATCAGGGGTCCTTGGTGCTCTCTCAGCTTGGTGGTTTTCTTGCAGACATTTCATTACTCAAACTACTGTAGGTAACATCCTCAGTGAGATAAACATTAGCAGCACTGAGGATGTTACCTAGTTTGGGTGATGAAATGTCTGCAAGAAGACCACCAAGCATAGAGGGCACCAAGGACCCCTCATTTCATCCCTGAGCTACAAATATTCTCCTTTATTGGCCCAATCACTATCATTAACCATGGGCGTGTTCAGAAAGCCATTTGCCACATGGCAATCCAGAGTGTCATCTTACATCTATTGGTGTCAAAGACAT